CAGCCTCACCAACACTGAGTGATGCTTTAAGGCGGTGGAAAGTGGTTTGTTTGTTTGGTCAGAAGCCTCCAAATCAAGATGTTGTCAGGGTTGTATTCCTTCTGGAGGCTCTAGGGGAGAATCCCTTTCCTTGCCCTTTCTAGTTTCCACCTTCATTTCTTGGTTTGTGGCTTCATTCTCCATCTTCAGACCCTGCTGCCTCCCTTTTATGAGGATCCTTTTGACTGCATTAGGCTCATCCAGTTAATCTGGGATAATTCCTCCATCTCAAGATCCTGAATTAACATAACTGCAAAGTCCCCTTTACCATGTAAGGTAACATTCACAGACTCTAGGGATTAAGATGTGGCTATCTTTGTGGGGGACCATTATTAGCCTACCACAGGGAGATTTGTCATTCATCTGTGATAGAAAGTGCACATACCTTTCCTTATTGTCTTTTGTCTTCTATTGTTTGTGGTTCTTTTGCTTTTATTTTTTGCTATGTAGAGTTTATCCTGATAAATTGTGTGAAATGCAGAGCAGTCTTAATTTTCTTCCAGAAATCTATTCAGTTGTACCAGCACCATTTACTGAAAAGTCCAACTTTTCCCTAAAATATAGTAAATTCCTGTGTATAGTTTGATTGATTGCTGGACTTTCTGTTTCATTCCATCATTTGTCTATCTAAAAAGTGCACTTTTTTTTTTTTAATTACCGAGGCTTTATAATATAGTATCTGGTAGGGCTAGACATCATTAGCTCTCCTCATCTACCCTTCTTCCCCCCACCTCACCCTACACTGCTCTTCTTTTTCATGGCTTCCTGATTATTCTGGTTATTCTTCATGCTGTTTCCAATATGAACTTTAGAATCAGCTTATCTGAGTTGGGGGGGAGGGGGGAGGGGGGGTGTTAATTTTATTGGAGCAACTTTATGAGGTTGGATCTTACTATCTTTAAACATGATATGCCTTTATATTTATTTAACTTGCTTTCCTTCAGTAGTATTTTAACATTTTTTATATCAATTTTGTACATTTCTAAGTTTATTCCCAGCTTTTAAATCTTTTTTTCATAGATATAATGTAAGAAAAGGCCCTATTTACAATACTTTCTGATTAGTTTTTATGTATGAAAGCTATGGTTACATCTATTATGTTAATTATAAATTATATTGATTTTATATGCTGCTACCTTACTGAATTATCTTCTTGTTTTAGTAGTTTTTTGGTTGAGTTTTGTATATTGGTCTTCCCCAATATACAGTTATACTGTCTTCAAATAGTGATAGTTAAACTCTTCCTTTCTAATTTTTATACAGCTATCCTTTTCTTGCCTCTTCTATTACATTGTTAAATAGCAATGGTATTGTGTTCATCTCTGTCCTGTTCCTGATTTTAGGAAGAAGGGCTCATGTGTTTCCCCATAAAGTATTTGCTGACTTTTGGGTGATCATGCATGCTTGTGCACACACACACACAAACACAGGCACCTGTCATATTAAAGAAATATACATCTGGAATGAGGGCATTTTTTTTTTCCTTGTTAAAATAGTTCCTGTTTCTGCAGAAACTTATTAGATTAATCTGTGATGGATGAGTTATCATAATTCAAGTATACAGTTCTTTTTTTCTATCAACTATTCATTGTCATGCAATAGTAAAAGCATTAAAGATGCAGCAAGCTTACAAAGTACTATCTTCTAAAAGAAATAGGAGGCATTTTCTTCTTTATTATTGTACTTTTGGTTATGCAGACACTTAGATGTTATAAATTTTTATATCCCCCATAAATCTGGTCAGAAATTACTTTTGATTTTGTTGATTAAGTTAAACAGTCTATAGTAGGATAGAGTACGGGGTACAAGTGGTCCAAAGTAAGATAAAAGACTACGATAAAAATGATAGATCTTAAAAAAGAAACTGAGGGGCTTCCCTGGTGGCACAGTGGTTGAGAATCTGCCTGCTAATGCTGGGGACATGGGTTTGAGCCCTGGTCTGGGAAGATCCCACATGCCACGGAGCAACTAGGCCCGTGAGCCACAACTACTGAGCCTGCGCGTCTGGAGCCTGTGCTCCTCAACAAGAGAGGCCGCGATAGAGGCCCGCGCACCGCGATGAAGACTGGCCCCCGCTTGCCACAACTAGAGAAAGCCCTCGCACAGAAACGAAGACCCAACACAGCCAAAAATAAATAAATTTATTAAAAAAAAAAAAGAAAGAAACTGGTTTATGCACTAAACATTTTGTGTTTTGGTCTAATATTAACATGACGTCTGTGTAAAATGACAAAAAGAACCAGTGTTGAATCACATTCGTTATATTTCCAGTCATTCTGCATTATCCCAGATTGCTAAATATGTTCTTTGCATGAAGTTTGAATTACTGTATACATTTAGTGTCCTATATGACATTTTTGTCATTGGTAGAGATTTCAGTAATTAAAATGGGAAACAGGAGCTTAGGTTATTTTCCTTACCAAAACTATGTTCCTTGGAACCACATTACTGTGATGGTTTTCGTGCTCTTGTACATTGGATGTCTTAAGCTGAGTGCAGTTTAGGGGATCCTTTCTGTATAATTACAGGAAGGTCTTTCTTTCCTTCAACACTGTGATCTGACCTGTGACAAACCTGTACTATAGTATGTAAATGGCTAACAAGTCAACTGCAAACCAACTGAATGTACAAATCTTAGTGCTGGTGCTGAAATCTCTTCAGAGTAGTGATCATGATCTCAAAGTTTATTTCAAAATTTGCAAGCATCAAGTGTCAGTCATAACTGAAGATGAAACACTAATGAATCCTCATGCTTTAGGTGTACTTGCTTTTTAGATTTTTTGGTTCTCTGCTATTTTTACCATACTGTTTCATTTAAATTTCCTACACACAGGACTTCCCTGGTGGCGCAGGGGGCCTGGGTTGATCCCTTGTCAGGGAATTAGATCCCACATGCATGCCGCAACTAAGAGTTCACATGCCACAACTAAGGAGCCTGCATGCCACAACTAAGGAGCCCTGGAGCTGCAACCAAGGAGCCTGCCTGCCGCAACTAAGGAGCCCTTGAGCCTCAGCTAAGGAGCCCACCCACCGCAACTAAGGCCTGGCACAACCAAATAAATAAATATTTTTTTTTAAATATAAATAAATTTCCTACACACTAACTTCGTTTGTGCCATTGAAATAAAATTGCAATATATTACATTTATAAAAAAAGAAGAAATACGCATCTGTTCCTGTTTTATTCAGTGCTTTTTTCCCATCAAGAATAGGATTTGAGGGCTTCCCTGGTGGCGCAGTGGTTGAGAGTCCGCCTGTCGATGCAGAGGACACAGGTTCGTGCCCCGGTCTGGGAATATCCCACATGCCACGGAGCGGCTGGGTCCGTGAGCCATGGCCGCTGAGCCTGTGCGTCCGGAGCCTGTGCTTCGCAACGAGAGAGGCCACAACAGTGAGAGGCCCGCGTACCGCAAAATAAAGAAAGAAAGAAAGAAAGAATAGGAGTTGAATTTTGTCAAGTGCATCTTTAGTATATCTGGAGAGATAATATGGTTTTTATCTAGGTTTATTAATATGATATTTCACATATTTTAAAATCCATTCTCAGATTTCCAAAATTAAATGCTATCATTTATTTGCAATGTTTTATGAAGCAGTTTATGCACTGTTTCTCCCCAAGTGGCTTTTTGATTATTACACAATACTATGTTGCATATGTGTAACTGTTGCTATAAGTGAAACTCTCTTTTTGTTTAAAAGCATGTAAAATTAAGTTGAGAATTTGATCTGACCAGTGGGTTGAAGATTCCCTTCAACATGGTGAAAGAGGTGGGACTAAATCTAAGATCATTTTTTAATGGTGTCTAAGTTTTCTTATTATTTTTTATTTTGTCCCCAAATAATGGTGGAAGGAGAAGGATTGTGGTATGGGCGGCAGGAAGTAAAGTGTTTGAGTTAATTAATCCTTCTGGATGGGTTCTAGTTAGTTTGAGGTTTCAAAGAAACACCGTAAAATGAGCATCATTATGTATATCGCTTCATCATTCTTGTCCTCAGAGAGCTAACTGCTTAAAGCAGAGCTGTCCACTAGGGTAGCCACCAGCTCCTTGTACCTATTGAGTACTTGAAATGTCACTAGTGATGTGCTGTAAGTGTAAAATATACACTGATTTTGAAAAGTTAGTGTAAAAAAAGAATGTAAAATATTATTAATAATTTTATATTGATTATATGTTTTATTTTATTATAGTAATACTTTAGATATATTGGGATAGATAAAATGTCATTAAGATTAATGTCACCTGTTTCTTTTCGCTTTTTTAATGTAGCTACTAGCAAATTTTTAATTGCATATGGGGCTTACATTATAATTTCATTGGACATCACTGGTCTAGAGTCAGTAGGTATGTGTATGCTTATGCTTACTTAAAGATACTACCGTGATTTTCGTAATGTAAAAAGATGAAATTAAATAAACTACAGTTATGTCTTCCCTTATCATCTTGTTTCTTCTTATGGGAATAAACTTTGATGAATAGTATGATCTAATCATACTCCATTTTAATGGGTTACCTTCTCTCTGATTTTTTCTATCTACCTGCTTATAAGAGATTGCAGTTCCTTCGCTATGCCCTTGACATTTTAACATAAGTTAAAGACAATAGGATTCTTATGTTTTGGAATACTAGCACTTAATTAAGAACTGATATGAATCTAGAAGAGAGTTAGTTTGAAGGTCTAAATTTCTAATTTTGCCTTATAAGTATATTTTAATAGAAGTTCCCTAGCTCAAAATAAAATTTCTTCAGCATTTCTTTCATTTTTTCCCAATTACCCTAAAAAAGCAGTTCCCACCTCCTTAGTTCTCTTTAGGTAGAGGTGAGGGTCAGCATCTTTTAGTTCTGTCTTGTTGCAACAGCCTGAGTGTTTTGAATAGTTCATTTTTTAATGCTTATTCTTCAAAAACTGAAACAAATTACTCCTAAAACCTTTTTAATCTTGGCTTTTGTTGCAATTTTTAGGAAAATCATATCACAGATGATATTGGAATATTAACTTGGAAGAAGCAGACTTTTCTCTCCCATGGTGCCTTATTAGCAAAGAGCTGCCAAGCTGCAATGGAATTAGCAAAGCATGATGCTGAGGTTCAGGATATGGCATTTCAGTATGGGAAGCACATGGCCATGAGTCATAAGGTATTTGCATACCCTTTCTATTTTTTCTGTACTTAAATAGCTAAAATGATACACAAGAAACATTTTACCATTTAATGAACTGCTTTTATATCTCAAAAACTGTCTATTGAGTACATAAAATCTATCATTTGTGGTGGTTATTACATAATATAAACAGTACGATTGGTGAGTACTGTATAATTTTGATAGAAAGCTACAGCTTACTTAAACCATATTTGTGATGTTTGTCTCTTCTTACCACCTGAAAGGGTTCTTGAAAGAACTCTTGCAAATTATTAAATAACATGTAATGTTGCCAGTCACAAAATGGAAGAATATTTGCATTTTTGTTACAGTTCCCTTATAGTTCCTATGTAAAACAAACTGTGGAAAGTTAATGAAATTTAGAAATATATGGAGCAAAGTTGAAAGCTTTAATTCCAATAACTGATTCTTTTGAATGGGTATAATGAAATATAAAATGTCTCAAGATTAGCTGTTATTTTGTTACCTCCATGTATATGTAATTTTAAATTCCATTTAGTACATATTTCTTAGATGCCATTTAAATAGCTCATAAGAAGGGGGAAATATATACAAAAATATGTAATATCTCCAGGTGAGTTTTTATGTACTTTATTAAATCTTTGATTAATTTATTTATTATTTGATTATATTTATTAAATAAATATAATTTATGATCCTTACCTTGAACTTAAAAAGCAAAATAAAGGCTGCTGCCAAATAAAAAAGGAATATGTTAGGGGAAAACTATTTTAAAAGTTTTTTTAAGATTATTGTTAATCATATGAGCTGTTCTTTTGCTTATTAAAGTACATCTAAAAACTGAGTTCCTTAAGCTTAATTTTTCACTGTAGTAACTGGTGCTTTCTGAATATGACTAAAACATGCCAATGTATATGCATTTCACTGATTTAACTCTTTTCACTACTCCTTCTAGATAAATTCTGATCTCCAGCCTTTTATTAAAGAAAAGACCAGTGACTCCTTGACTTTTAATCTAAACTCAGCTCCTGTAGTCTTACATCAGGAGTTTCTTGGAAGAGATTTGTGGATTAAGCAGATCAGAGAGGTAAAATGAAATTACTCTTATTTTAGGTGCCAATAGTATTTGGTTGATTTTAAAACATAACTCATATTTTATGATGATCTAAGACTGATCAGCCATATGGAGCATATAGATCAGTCATATAAGAGCTTATTCATATAACAGGTAAAATTCTTAATTTATAATATACATTTTTGAGAGGTAAGTGTTAGTTAAAAGTTAGAGACTGCAGTACTGTGTTTTCTTATTATCTGAATTCATAGAATAGTGCAATACAAAATCTGTGCCTGTGGTAAATACTAATTAACTCAGATGATTTTTTTTTTCTAAAGGCTTTCAAAAATTGGGCTATGGTAATAGCATCACCCTTTAACTGACGGCAATTTCCCATATGTAGACTCTAGCACAAGCTGCAGAATTCCAGGAGTTCTGCCTGTCACTTCATTGGGTTATTTTAAAACAAACTTGGATCCTGAGTACTCAAGTTCTGAGGCATTATCAAAGGAAAAAAAAAAAAAGTATGGTTAAGTAAGAGGGGTAAAGGGACTTGGGTGAATTTTCTACTTTTTTGTGGGGGAGGGAAGGTATGGAAGATGAGAGGGAGCTTTTTTAGGTTTTTCTTAAATCCAGAAATTTTTTTGGTTTTTTTTAAATCCAGGTACAAAAAGTTCTTGCCTTTCTATCCAAAACTTCATGGAATTTATTTAACTTGGTGGTTTTAATTGATTGGGTTAATCTGAGACTGGACAGGGGAAAGCAGGCACAGCTGAGGTGGAGGTAGATGGCACACTTCAAGTAGAGAGAGCCTGAGCTTTCTGCTTTTGGAAAGATAAGATTTTCCCTCTCCAACCACTCCTCCCTAATTGATCTCAAAATACTTACAGCCAGCTTAAAATCCGTTATATTCACCAGGTAGAAAATGAGAGGATTCCTTTCTGGGGAAACTGTCAAACCCAGAGGAAAAGCCCTGCAGATGTGGACTTTTGGGGCTCCCTCAGTAAACATGCCGTAATCCTGGCCAGCTGCCTTACAGTGAGGTCCACCAGTTGACAAGCCTCAGAGTATCCAAGGGCACAGAACATCCAACTGAAGTAGAATAGCTAATAAAGGACCACTGGGCATTTGACAGCAGCCTCTGCCGTGAAAGAACAAGTCAAAATCAAACTGATTAAAAAAAAAAAAAAAAAAAGGAGGGAACTTAGAGGAAACAGAGGCAGTGCAAGGGGGAAAAAAGACATTTCCAAATGTACTACAATCAATATATTCAGTGAGATAAGATATTAAATCCATGAAATAAGAACAGGTGATATGTAAAAAAGGACAATTCAAGAATAAGAAATCAGAATTATAAAGTATAAAAATATGAAAGCAGAATTTAAAAAAAAATTAGAAGAAGGGGCCTCCCTGGTGGTGCAGTGGTTAAGAATCTGCTTGCCAATGCAGGGGACACAGGTTCGAACCCTGGACCGGGAAGATCCCACATGCTGCGGAGCAACAAAGCCAGTGCGCCACAACTGCTGAGCCTGTGCTCTAGAGCCTGTGTGCCACAACTACTGCAGCCCATGCACCTAGAGCCCGTGCTCTGCAACAAGAGAAGCCACTGCAGTGAGAAGCCCATGCACCGCAACAAAGCATAGCCCCCCCGCTCACTGCAACTAGAGGAAGCTGTCACGCAACAATGAAGACCCGAGACAGTGAAAAATAAATAAATAAATAAATTTATTTTTTAAAAAAATCAGAAGAAGAATGGAAGATATTAAAAGAATCTCCCAGAAAATTGACTAAAAAGATAATAGAAAATAGAAAAGATAAGAAAATTAGAGGACCAATCTGAGAGATCTTATATCTATTATGAGTCCCAGAAAGAGACTTAATGAAAATGGAGGTGAAAAATTAATAAAGAATTAAAAGAAAAGAAAAATTCTAAGAAATGAAGGACGTGAAGGTGTCTCCAAATTGAAATGGCACTCTAAATTGTGAATTTTAAAAGACCTACACCAAGTGACATCATTATCAAATTTTGAAACAATGGGGATAAAGAAGAGATCTTAATACTTCCAGAAAGAAAAACCTACATACAAAGGATCAAGAATCAGAATTGTCTTAATAGTGACACTGAAAGCTTCAAGACAATGAAGTAATAACTTCAACATTCAAAGAGAAATTGTTTCCAAATTAGAATTTTATGCCAGTCATATTATCAAGTGTGATGTTAAAGACAATTAAAGCATAAATAAAGTCTCAAAAAACTTACCTCCTAAGCATCTTTTTTTAGGGAGCTGGTGATGTATTCTATCAAGGGAATAACCAAGAAAGAAAAAGATGTGGAATTTAGGAACTAGGGCATCAGACATAGGTGTGAGATGATGGGAATTCCCAGGACAATATGAAGGGAAGAATAATAAACAACAACAAGAATGCCAACCATAAGAGAACTACTTTGTGCCAACCACTGTTCTAATGAGAAACCTGAAGCAGAGAGAGATTAACTTGAGCACAGTCACACAGCACTGGTAAGTAGTAGAGCCAGGATGCAAACCCAGGCAGCCTGGCTACAGGGCCCACATCTGTAAGTACAATAGCATGCTACATTGTCTCTCACCCATGCAAGTCCTAGGCTGTTGGCTCTGCATCCAGGCTCAACTGGGGCAAGAGGACAGAGATCTCCAGAAGTAATATCTCCAAGGAAACAATGGAACTGATGATCCCCTAATGTACTTGGCCATATTGAGAATTTAGGGACAAATTAATAACAGGAACATAGAAAGTACCAGTTAAGAGTAAGAGTACCAGTTACCACTGCTGCATAACAAATTACCCCAAAACTTAGCTGCTTAAAATAATCATTTTATTATGTTCATGGATTCTGTGGGTCAGGAATTTGGACAATGCACAGAAGGGATGACTGCTCCATGATGTCTGGGGCCTCAGCTGGAAAGACCCAGAGGCTAGAGGTGATTCAGTGATGCTGGGGACTGGAATCATTTGGAATCTCCACTCACACCTGGCACCTAGGCTGGGCTGTCAAGAAGACCAGGCTTCTTAACAACCAGAGTATTCACACGTGGCTCCTCCACTTGGCTTGGCTTCCTCACAGCATGGCAGCCTCAGAGTAGTCAGACTTCTTTCTTGCCAACTCAGAACTCCAAACACAAGTGTTCCTTCCAGCAAACAAGGCAAAGGCTGCACCTTCTTTTATGACCAGCCTCTGAAATCACCCGCCATTTTCATGATCTCCTATCAAAATAGTCACAAGCCCACCCAGAATCAAGGGGAGGGGCTGTATACCTCACCTATCACTGGGAACAATTTCAGAGAATTTGGGGCCCACGTTTTTAAACAGCCACATTAAACATATGATACGAAATGAGGCAGTTCTTAGCTGTAGTGAATAAATTTTTAATGTATAAGAAAGAAAATGTAATCATAATACTTAACATGGCTTAGAGGATAATAATTTATATAGCATAAAAATGTAAATACCAAATACTGATTTAAACCAAAAAGTATAATCACTGGGGAGAGGGTAGGGGAAAGGAATGTTTTTGGTCACGTAAGAAATGTAATTATTCCTTTTATCGTAGGATCAATAGATAATGTCTTAAAATTTAAAAATCAAGAAAACAGTATTTGAAGATAAACAGAAGAAACAGCTAAAGTGAGGGAAATGAGACAGACAAAGTCTGGAGAGTGCTAGGATATTTTGTTAGAAGTCTTGTGTTATTAGACTCTTTAAATACTATACATAATTTAAACCTTTGGTTTAAAAGTTTATATACTTTGCTATAGTAATTGCACTTCTAGTAACGTATCCCAAGAAAAATAACAGAGATGTGGGCAAAGATTTACATATTAAAATATGTAGTAAAATACTAATTATAAAAGGAAGAAAATGAAAATTGATCCATTTGAAAATAGAAAAAAGTTAAATGAAGTATAGTACAATAAAATATTACACAACTGTTGAATATTGTATTATGAGCATTGTATTTGTGTGTTTTTTGACAGCTGAACCAAAAATGTATATACAGATGGTGTTAGTGGCTCTAATTGGATTACATTAGAATACATTGCAGATACACATTTTGGTTGAAAAGATCCAGCTAAATATGTTAAATGAAAGCTATCGGGGCTTCCCTGGTGGCGCAGTGGTTGAGAATCTGCCTGCCAATGAAGGGGACACGGGTTCGAGCCCTGGTCTGGGAAGATCCCACATGCCGCGGAGCAACTGGGCCCGTGAGCCACAACTACTGAGCCTGCGCATCTGGAGCCTGTGCTCCGCAACAAGAGAGCCCATGACAGTAAGAGGCCCGTGCACCACAATGAAGAGTGGCCTCCGCTCACCACAACTAGAGAAAGCCCTCACAGAGAAACGAAGACCCAACACAGCCAGAAATTAATTAATTAATTAATTAATTTTTTTAAAAAAGAAAGCTATCAAGTCTCTGTTGGCTATTCACATATATACATATATATATATATATGTGTGTGTGTTTGTGTGTGTATATATATATATATATATATGAGCAGCATAGATATGAATTTTAAAGAAGCTTCACAGAAAAGAAACATATTTAACTCTTAGTGTCTTTGCAAGCATGCAGAGTTGTAAATATAGACTACATGAGAGTCCAGGATTTCCTAAACAACTGGTGAAATAGTCCCAAATCATTATCTTCAATATGATTTTCAGTTCAAAGGGATATCCTTTCCAAACAGCCTATGCCTTAGGCATTATCTCCAGTAAATTAAATAGATCTTGTCCAGAGGTCAGTAAACTGCCAAGATGACACCCATGAGCAGACGAGGTTACATCCTCCAACCTAGGTCCCCTGTGATCATCTCTAAATCCTCATCCTTCAGGAAGAACTGGCAGTTTATTGCCCACCTCTCAAGGCCCCACCAGACTGCTGTGATTTGCTCCATGGACTTCGGGCCCTTCTCCTTATATCTACATGTCTGAGTCATGAACAGGGTCACAGAAGAAGAGAAGGTGAATTTGTCTGAAGCAAATAAGAAATTTA